CGATGGTTTCCTTGGAAAGATTTTACTCTATGGCTTTAACGTTAACCTTAAGTCAAAGATTGGAATGCAAATTTAGCCATCTACATGCATATTGATATATTGAATAATTTCTTTCAAATCAGACCTACGTGCACGTAAATTTTTAAAGCTCTATTAATTATTTATTAATTATGTGGTGACCATATCCTACGCCATCGCTGCTAATTAAAGCAACCATACGTGCAAGGAGTCAATTTTTTTTTTTTTTTTTTTACTATTACCTACAGTGCGTAAGCAAAGGATAGGAGCGTCTACTCGTCTATCTATTTATAATACATAACTTGTTCTATTAGTTTTTCATTTCATTCATTTTTTTCAAGTTTTTGACTTTTGGTATTTTCCTAACCTTTCAAACTTTTAATTTTATTTTTTTGTACGGGTTTTTTTTCTATTTTTTTAAACAAGGAGCAATCAAATTGAAATATTTTTTTAACAAATTAAAAAAATGTATACTTGCTTATTAATCTCAAATAAAAAATAAACATACACATTTGTAATTTTCCTTTCAAGTACTATTGTTTTACTTCTTTATAAATTCTATTCTCTTTTAATTTTACTTTTAAAATTCTGAGAAAAAGTATTTAGGTAATATTTATTTAATTTAATTTAAATTTTTTATGTTTTATTGACAGTATATTTTAAATTTATTTATATTAATAATACTATCATTAGGAGTGTCAATTTTTTATAAATATATAAAAGACAACTTATAATAGTAGAGACCTTGCTTACTAAAAGATGAGACAAAATTATATCTTATATATTTTATATCTACATATAAAATTAGTTTTTGACACATCTAGTGATGTTATTAATTCCTAATAATCAAATTGATTGTTAAATTATTTTAAGTAAAAAATAAAGGAAAATATAAGTATAAGGTTACAGGACATGGAAATATCTTCCCGCTGAGCCATTGATGGGAGTGCCTTTTTAAAAAAAATAAAAAAATTAATCATGGGCCACCTCAAATTGTATTAGCAGGAAACTTAACTTTTCTTCCAGCAAGATATATAACAAATGTAAAACCCAAAAATTAATCAATGGATTACTAACTATCAATATATATAAAATATATTTATTTAAAACTACAAGAGAAAAATAATCATCAAAATATAATTAATATAGGGTTGAGAAATATTTTATAAAAATAATAAAGATTAAGAATTATATAAATTTTCTCTGTTATAAAACAATTCACTCAATATAACAGCATAAATTATAATGGTCATAATTTTTCCAACAAATTTTGAATATAAAGTTAAGAAATACATGGAAATATTGTTTCTGATAAATAAAATAATTATTACTTTTCAAAAAAATTTATCATATACTTTATTAAGATTACTAATTAATTTAAATTTGCACTAAATATTTTATTTATTAAATAATGAACTCATTATCACGAATAATGAATGTAAACAATGCGTAAAGTGTACAAGGGAACCCAACCAGTTTAATTTAAAATATAAAAATGATTAAACTAGATGGGTATCGTAAAATTGACTACAGAACTAATTAATCATTTTATTATTGATCGAATGTAACATTACTTTTGAATAGATATATATTTATATATTATTAGATGTCAAATTAATATGTAAATAATATTTTGTTAAAATAATCTTAACTTAGTATTAATAAATTTATTAAGCAAACTGAAATAGAAAATTAAAGTTATTCGAGGTTTTCTGTATATTAAAAAGTACTGAATATATATATATATATATATATATATATATATATCAATGTAAATCAAATTCTTTCTTCATTTTCTTATACTTTTTACACATTTCATATGTGAGTATTAAATTTTTTATATAAACCTAATACACAAATGTACCCAAGCACTAAGTGAAATGTGAATTACAATCAATTCCTAAAGGCTTTAATATCCAAAATATATGATGTAACATATATATAATATACTTGATTAGTTGGATAAATAGTTAATTGTATTATTTTTAATATATTAAATTAGGAGATTAATATTCCTCATGCAAGATTGAAATAATTTTATCTCTTGCACTCATATCAAAGTAGATGAAGCCTTTTGAGTATAGATGAAGCCTTTTGAGTAGAGGAGAGAGAAAAAAAAAAGTGAATTGTACTCACTTCTATGTGAGTACAAATAAAGTTATTTCTATCTTATAAAAAAAATATTAATTTTATAAATTAGTGTTTAAATAATTCATAGCATGTAATTAAGTAGATAATTTAACATAAAAATTATTTGATAATGCATGTGTAGGGTAATGCATTATTGAGATGTAGGTAGTTTTTTTATGGGAAAAGTGTTTGTGATTTTAAATGTCATAAAGTTATGTCATTTTAAGAGAGAGATAGACACAAGAAAATATTTTTTTATTTAAAATTAAAATTTAAAAAAAACCATTGACTTTCTCTCCCATAATTTTTATTTTTTGTGTCTATCTCTCTATTAAAATAACATAACTTATGTTATTTAAAATGACAAACACCAAATTTTTTTTATATTTATGTCGTGGATTAATTGCAAATTTGCGAAGGCAAAGATACGAATGAAACTTGTTGAATGTTGCGTCAAGGAGGAGGACGTACGACATTTCCGGGGGCACATGGGGGTAGGACCGAGTCAACTCAGTGAAAAAAGGTGTTCTTCACTTGTTTTGTGATTGTCACGTTTGAATAACCAGTCAACCAATTAAAGCAGAGATAGTATGACTGGCAGAGTAACTACGGCAGTAAAAAATACAATTCTAAATTATTCTCAACTTTTTTAATTATTTAAATTTAATTTAACAATATTTCTTCTCACAACATGTATAACTGTTTGATATCACGTATTATACTTTTAACGGGACTTGATTAATTTATATCAGTATAGGTTATGCCTTTTATATTTAACAATTTTAATTTATTAATTGTATGAAACATTGGATATAAATAAATAATTTTTTATCTTTATATCAATATAAAAATAATATGCTCCATTTTTAATAAAGTAACATTTAAAAAATCTATTGGGGTGAGGGTTGTTGAGTCTGCCTAGATTGACTCAATGGTTGGCATATATTTTGAACCTTGAATCTTTATAAAAAAAATTATTATGTCTTACTATAGAATGATATTGAATCAATGGATATGGGGGGGTCAATTAAAAGTAACATTTGAATCATTATTGTAAGAGAATTTCATAAAAAGATCTAAATTGTGCATAGGATTATTCTTTAAAGAAAACACTGTTCGAAAGGGAAGAAAAAGATGCAAATGTGGGATCAGAGATGGCCTACCAGGGACGAATTTCTAGAGAAATGTGAGGCACACGATAGAGACACTCTCTGACTAACAGAGAACTGATCCTCTCATATGAAAAAGTTGTTATGTGATTATGTTATTTGATCATAATTATTTATTTAAAAATTATACATTTTTTTTCTCTTATCTCATCATCAATAAATAATTATAATCAAATAATATGATTACATGACAATTTTTTCATATAAAAGGATTCCTGTGACTAACAGTGGTTACGAATAAGAGAGAGAGATCGGTGGCTGCTGGCACGACACATCATGCAGTACCACTCATCTCTTGTCTTGAATCTTTTCTCTCTCTCTCATTCTGACAGTCTTTTTGTGGGTCCCTACACCCAACCAGTGAGTGTTCACGGACGGCACCACCCCTTCTTTCTCTCGAAACTCTCTCTATCTTTTTGTGATATTACGCTCCAAATACAATAATGGCATAATCATTTTCATACCTGGCTGTAAAGTTCACTCGCTTTTCCTTTTCATTCCCCTTTTTTAATACTAGCTAGCCAACTCACTTTTAAGTTGTTCCAATTTGTGTTTTCGGTTAAAATTTGTTTACGTGGAATAGAACTAATTAGGACCACCAAGTAGATCAATTGAGAAGAGGTTATTTTAACTCTCGAGTTTGTAAAATTGTGTTAAAAATTTAGTAGGGTGATTTTTTTTTTGGATACATAGGAAGAATTAGAACACATATCACCTTAGCTTAGTTGGCACATGGAAGTTGAGCATATGAGGTGAGAGTATGTGTTTGATCCTTCTTAGTACCACCTTTGGAAGCAGATTAAAATCTTAATCCTGAACCCGCCCTGAATCGAACTAGTCACAAAGCGATAAACTGATTGAAATATTTCGAAAAAAAAAAGAACACATACCATCTAACACAATTACCCACACCATTTATCACTAATTTAACCCTAGTGGCTTTAGCATGGTGATCTTTGCTATCTTATGATTATGTCTGGTTCAATTAGATTAGTCAATTAATCGATAAACCAATAAAAAAAAATCTAAAAGAATAGGCTATAGTAGTAGGCAAGTGATGTTCCGTGAATCTACAAAGACAGATTGAAAAGTTGAAACCAACCCATGGTCTTCTGGGGTCTAACTGTAACAAACAATTTCCACCTAGCTTAATTGCTCGTTCAATTGACTTGGTAGGACTACAATTTACGCTGTTTCTCAATTGGGTAACTTTACCACTACTACTTAGTATATATAGATAAAGAAAGTGAGAGAGATAGAGATAGAAAGGGAGAGAAATTGGTCCAGCTGAGTCTATGGCTGACTCACACCTAGAGAAACCGTGTTAGATAAGGAGAGAAAGCATATCGAGTTAGAAAATAAATTTTAGATATTATTCTCTTCTCTCTCCAATTAACTCACTCCAAACTATAAAAGACTCGTGCTTTCCGCGCGATTCACATGTAAAACCGATTTCAATAATTTCTTCTAAGATAAATATATTTTTTTTCCTTCCCTTTTTTTTTTTAGAATTCTCAAATGAGAAAATCAATGGAATGAAAAATTATTCTATCTATTATTCTCTGGTTATTATCTTTTCCAAGCACAAGCACCAGAAGCAACTAGCTAGCACACACAAACTTTTTGTTTTTATCTTCAAACAAATTTTGGTTTTGGAATTTGCTAGGTAACTAGTTTAGGATATTCGATTCAACAAATGATGTCTGAAGAAGCCTTTTCTGTTCCTTCCAACACCACCAGAGAAGGCTCCTTATTGGTTCATGTTCAAGAACCAAACTCAAACCCTACTTCAAATCCAGCTAAGAAAAAAAGAAACCTACCCGGAACACCAGGCAAGTGATCGATTAATTAATTACTCAACTTTCTCTTCTTTCAATCTCTTCTATTTATTTATTATTATCATCATTTTATTTTATTTTCAAATTCTTGTTAATTATATAAGTAACAAACCATGAATGAAATGAATTAATGAAGCAGATCCAGAAGCAGAAGTGATAGCTCTGTCACCAAAGTCTCTGATGGCAACCAACCGTTTCATCTGCGAAATCTGCAATAAGGGTTTCCAGAGAGACCAGAATTTGCAGCTGCACCGCCGCGGTCACAACCTCCCGTGGAAGCTACGGCAAAGAACAAACAAAGATCAGGTAAGGAAGAAGGTGTACGTGTGCCCGGAGAAGAGTTGCGTGCACCATGACCCTTGTAGAGCACTTGGAGATTTAACAGGTATAAAGAAACACTTCAGCAGAAAGCATGGAGAGAAGAAGTGGAAGTGTAACAAATGCTCCAAGAAATACGCAGTTCAATCCGATTGGAAAGCACATAGCAAGATTTGTGGGACTAGAGAGTACAAATGTGACTGTGGCACACTTTTCTCCAGGTTAGTATAATTTAATTAATATTCAATTATAATGTATATATCAAATGTTCCTAATTGTGTTAAATTTAATGGATGATAGTAATTGAAGAGAATATTTGTTTGGAATAATAAATGAGGGTTCTTAATGGGTTTGTTTGTGATTGAAATGTCACATATTTGAATGAGAAAACATTCTCTTTGCAAAAATATAAGGTTAAAGGATACATAGGCGGCAGATCATGCAAATTTTTTTAAAATTTCAGGATCCATTTATGTATTCTAAAATAAATGAACTACCAATGCACTTTGCGCTGAAGTTTTGTTTCCTTATTACATGGGGTTTAATGTGGAGTGATTTGTTTTTCATTTTTTTGGGTTGTTAATTAATTTGATGTTCATATGTATAACAAATCAGGAAGGACAGCTTCATAACACATAGAGCCTTTTGTGACGCTTTGGCTGAAGAAAATGTGGGAGTAACTAGAGTTCCAGCAGCTTTATGTAACTTGAGAAGTGATCATTTGGGCAATGTTCAATTGCCAAGGTTCCCTCAGATTTTTCATGGGTTTCGTTCAGAACATGGTAGTGGTTCAGGGTCAGAACCATTAGGAAATTATGCAGACACAAACAATGACCAGAAGCTGAGGCTGCCACTATGGTTAGACCAAGTCAATTTCCCTAACAAGTCAAGTGCTTTTTCATTAGGAGCAAACTCTGCTTGCACCATGCCTGATTTATTGCAAACAATGGACATGTTAGGTTCACCCTCACAGGCACAGTGGTTGAATCACAGATACCCTGAAGTGTTATTTTCAAGTGCCAACATATCACTGCCTGCACTACCACCACATGGACTGAAGCAAGAACACGAAGAAGGCTTCAACAGCAACAATAATCTCAACAACGTCTTTGGTTGCTTCATGGGGTCAAACAATAATAATATTGTTGAGGTTCAGAAGTTTCTCAAGCAAGCAAATATTGATCACCATCAAGCTGAAAACTTGAACGAGTTAATGAATTTCGAAGCCAGCACCAACAACCTTGGAGGGTATTCATTAAACGACTCGAACAACAACTCGTGTGTGGTTGTGTCTAGCACGAAGAATGTGGATCACGTGATGATGATGCAAATGGGTGAAGAGACAACAAATCTACCACAATCAATCATGGCCAAGCAACAACTACATCAAACCTTAAAAAACAAAGACCACCTTGGTTTTACACGAGACTTCTTGGGTGTTGGAGATGAATTTAATGCAATTGAATCAACCATGAACCTTCAGAGCCAGTATGGTGGACATTATTGCTAGTCTATAGAGTTACAATTTAATGAAAGTTTCTTAGAGCTAAAGAAACTAGTGAAGTTGTATCATAATATGATATAGATATAGCTACTTCTTCTTTTTTTTTTTTTTTTGATATTATCCCCTGTAATCCCATAGATTCCATATGAACTAATTCAGAATTTGGGACGGGATCGGAATTAAGATTTTGAACATCTTCCAAAAATGATATTAGAAAAAATCTAATATATGCTCTCACTCTTACTTGCTTAGATCAGATGTACCACGTGAATTACCATTCGATAGATATAGCTACTTTTATTAGGAGGAACATGTAACCTGAGCAAAGAGATTGGAGACAGATATACCGAGTCAACTCGGCAACTGAGTCATGCACATGGAAACTGAGAAATTTCACGTGTGATCGATATGAGAGAGGTCTCGTGAGGGAGGTGGGGCCCATTGCATGTGAGAAGGGACAAAAAAATATAAATCGTATCGGTCCAAAACACATATATAGGCATAGGGGTGATTCTCCGTTATGGAAGGTCCCTGTCCTACACTTTCCTTCGTTACATGCATGTCGTAGAAGCAGTAACACTACAATAGTAAAATTTATTTTACCTAGCTAGCCTTTTCTCTAACGTAGTAATGTTGATAAAACTTTACAGTCATAACCATTATTACGTGGTGGCTGTGACCTATTTTTCTTTCTTTTCATGTGGCCTTTCAACTGTGGAGGCCGTGAAATTAATGCTTTCCACGGTGGAATAAAATACTATATTAGGAGGTAATTGCTTTATTTATCTAGCTATTTTAAATGTGTTTCCATGAATGTCTTTCGTCTTTATAGTCGTATATATGTCATCGATTTCTTGTAGAATCATGAACCATGAGTGTTGCTATATTGAATAATCAATAATAAAATTATGGCAGAGAAATAACACATAATATGCTATAATATTGTATTCTTTTTTAATTTTATATTATATTTTATTAATTATATTATTCTACTTAAAATTTAGTAGTTTTATATCAATATATTTTTTATCTCTATAATTTTTGACCACTTAGTATTTTTCTTCAAATCATAAAGTCAGATGAATGTTAAAAAAAAAAAAAAAACAGATTAGGTTGAATAATGGATTAATTTTTGGAGAAATCTAAACAAATGGATTTATCAATGTAAAATTAACCATTAAATGAACTTAGGAAAATATGTATATTAATTCAGGAAACTCCAAGGAAATATATATAGAATATATGAAAATTGCGAAGAATAAATTTCCATCACAAATTGCAACGAAAATATGTCAAAATTTTGGTTGCAAAAAATTGGGCAAATTCCGTCGCGGTTTCATCGCATCGCCGTTGCAGTTTGCGACGCAAATTACGCTTGTCGCAAAATTGAAAAAACTTGCAACGAGTTATTGCAACGAAAATATTTACGACAGGTTAATCGGTTGCAAACTTGGGAAGCAAATTTTACGACGGATTCAAGATTTAATATGTTGCAATTTACGGTGGAACCGTCGCAATTTGCAGTGGAATTTGAGACAGCATTCCCCAATATGATTTGCAACGGAAATTGACTTGTATTTTACAACAGATTTTGCGACAAAAATTAAAAATTTATTTTAGTTTTTTTTTTAATTTGAAAATAAAAAAGGTTCTCATTTCTTGCGAAGAAATATATTTTCGTTGCAGTTTGCGATAGATTTAGCGACGAAAATTTAAAATTATTTTAGCGATTTTTCATTTTTAAAAATTAAAAATTAATTTAGCGATGAAAATTAAAAAAGTATTTTTAGGGTCTGCATGACAACCATTCTATTCTCTAACATTATTTCTAAAAAAGAACTAATTATTTTCTATTTCTGTGCCTTGGAACAGTTTCTGAGAAAAAATATGTTTGATAACAAGTTCTATTTTTATTCCGAAAATGAGAATTGTATTTGATAACACATAAATACTAGAATAAAAAATCATTCCTATTAAGCATAAATTTTTTTCTGATCATGACTTTCCTTTTCATATGGTGTGGTGGTGGCGGTTGTGGCATGGTGGTGGTGGCGACAGTGGTGATGGCAGTGGCTGCGACGACGGTGTTGGTGACAGCAATGGTGATGGCGGCTGCAGTGGTGGTGTCGGTAGCGGTGGCGTGGTGATGGTAATGGTGGTGGTGGTGACAACAGTGGTTGTGGCAATGGTGGCGGCGGTAGTGATGATGGTAGTGGTGAAGAGTAATTAAGATAAATAAGTATTTATCATTTTGTGCCCGGGAACAAAAAAAAAGAAATTTTTTTATTCTTTTTTTTCCCTAGTACAAAACTTGAACCGGTTCATTCTCGAGAATAAAAAAATAAACCAATTTTGTCAAACACTGTTTCTATTTATTTATTTTTTCGGGAACAAAAATTGAAGAAAAAAACAGATTCTAGGAAGGTTATCAAGCACACGCTTAACAGTCTTTTTTTAGATATGAAATTTAAACATGTGCTCTTTTTTGTGATGGAATACGTTTTCGTCGCAATGGTGTTTGTGACAAAAATTTAAAAATTATTTTTAGCGATCTTTTTTTAGATATGAAATTTAAAAATGTGCTCTTTTTTGCGATGCAATTGGTTTCCATCGCAATTTTCGACAATGTTTGTGACGGAAATTAAAAAACTATTTTAAGCGATCTTTTTTTAAATATGAAATTTTAAAAAGTTCTTTTTTTTTTGCGATGGAATACGTTTCCGTCGCCGTTTGCGACAAATTTTACGACGAAAATTAAAAACTATTTTTAGCCGTCGTTTTTTAAAGATCAAATTTAAAAATGTGCTTTTTTTGCGATGAAAATTAAAAAATTATTTGTAGCAGTTTTTTTAGAGAAAAAAAAATTAAAAATGGTGCTAGATTTTTCGACGGAAAACAAATTTGAAATTCATAAACGGTGCCATAAATAACCATAAAAGGGAGAAATGCATAAAATTTAGGAAAGCGCAATTATAGGCAGGGGATGACTATATGAAAGAGATGCAATGTGCGTAGGAGAAAAAGTAAATGAATGCATCGCCGGATCCTTCGACACATACATTCATTGCTTCTAGGATGGAAGTGCCAATGTTGGAGAATCTAAGGAGAGATAAGACTGTGTGGAAATTAAAGGTGTGTGTGTTTGTGAGTATTTTGGGGTTTGGGTGTTTAGATTATGGGTAAAGTATGTATCATTTTAAAGGATGTAAAGTTGTGTCATTTTAAGAGAAAGAAAGAGATAGATAAAGGAGGAGAGAGAGTTGACAAAAAAAAATAAAGGTGTAGGTCCCACCTCTTTGTGAGAGTGAAAGGATATAAGTTGTGTCATTTTAAAGGATAAACATTTTTCCCTTAGATTATTAATAGTTTTCCCTCTTTGATGTTTTTTTTCTCATCGCTAAGCCATGCGTCCTTGGATGGTGTTTATTACTATCACGACTAGTGTTACCATCAGATAATTGTACCAAGCTACGAGCATTTTTTTTTTTTTTTTGTAAATGCATATTTTTAGTACTCTAGGAGTAAGTATTCCCTTTCCTAATAGAGAAAAAAACATGAAAGGAAATAATTATATAAGTAGCCTAGGAGAAATTAAAAATAATTCAATTACAAATTTTAGAAATATAATTATATATTACGTACACATATAGTTCGACTTTAAAAGTGAGAAAGGCATAAAATTTAGGAAGGTGCAGTTATAGGTAGGGGATGACTATATGGAAGAGATGCAATGTGCGTAGGAGAAAAAGTCATTGAGTGTGTCGGCGGATCCTTCGACGTGGATATTGAGTGCATCTAGGATGGAAGTGGTCATGTCGAAGAATCTAAGGAGAAATAAGATTGTGTGAAAATTTAAGGTGTGTGTGTTTATGAGTATTTTGGGGTTTGGGAGTTTAGATTTTTAACAGTTTTCCCTCTTTGATTTTTTTTCTTCGCTAAGCCATCCCTTTTTGGATGTTATTTATAACTGCCACGACTAGTGTTACCATCAGATCACTGTCTCTGGCTACTAGAACTTTTTTAGTACTCTAGGAGTATGTATTCCTTTTCCTAAAAAAGAAAAAATCATTCCCCAATTAAACCTGACTAGCGAGTGTGTGGTGAGGACAATCCTTGTACGCAATCTTAACCTTGCAAATAATAGTTTAGTTTATTAAGTATTTTCCTTTTTTGATTTTTCTCTTCGCTGAGCCATGCCTCTTTAGATGGTATTTGAAGAGTTGAAGTTGATTGCCTTAATTAGGGATGTGAAAAATAACCAAAAAATAAAAACTGAATTGTACTTAAAATAACTGATTTTAAAAATCACTTCATGAACCGAACTATTTCCTAACCGAACTGAATTGATTTTTATTACTTTTTTCTTTAATTTTTTAATTTTTCTGTTCAGAATAAGGTCGTCCCAAACCGGAACCATTTCCAACCGAATCGAATCGTTTAAACCAATTCGGTTCATTTTTTCAAAAAATTCAGTTCAATTCGATCCATGCACTCCCATAGAAGCTAGGTACTGTTGCGGGCCTCTGATTTATTATAAATTTTCCTTTTATATTCTCCTTGTAAACTAATTGACTTGTAACGAGTGGCGGTGAGATGAATATAGTACAGACAAGCTGGATGTACTCTAAATGCATTTTTAAATTTTTTAGTAGTGTTATTTAATTTGTAAGAGCGGGTTCTGAAAGACAATCGATTGTAATAACTTTTCACAAATATCATTTAATTATTTAATTTGATATAAAATTAAAAGAGTTCGACATAGCTAATTTTAATAATCAATAAATTTCTAATAACGTAAGAATATGTTAATGGATAATAACTTTTATGGGCAATGCTTTTCTCATGCTATTGGAGAAGAGGAAATCTCCTACTCACTCAAATTTATGGTGGAGCCCACATATAAAAAATAAAGAAAACAAAAAAAATTATTGCACGTAAAACGAAATCTCAGTAACATGAGAAGAGAGCTCTCCTAAAACATAAAAATTCTTTTTCCCTAACTTTTATTGTAACAATAAATGAAAACTTGATTCGAATAATACGTGTGCTTATATGAAAGCCAAGTCCCAAATCGCCGTTATCGAACAAGCCACGATTTCAATAAAAGGAAAAGTAACATGACATCGTTTTGTAATTAATTATTTCTTTACAAGAGATAAAAATAATTAGAGTAAAGACCATTTTTGATCCCTAACAAAAAAAATATGGTTCCACTTTAGTTTCTTACAAAAATAAATTATCAGTTAGTCCCTAATAAATTCAAGGTGGACCCATTTTAGTCCTTTTGAAGGATTAATATGGGTCTTTTTTGAATTTGTAAGGAACTACGATGTCAACTAAATGAGTTCACTTTAAATTTATTAGGGACTAATTGACTAATTTATTTTTGTAAGGGACTAAAGTAGGGACCGTATTTTTTGTTAGGAATAAAGAAAGTATTTACTCAAATAATTATTTGAAAAATAGATATAACACTCATAAATAGAAATATGCACTGTGAAAAGGTACCAAACCATAATTTTCAAAATCACAAAATCACAACTTAAGTAAACAAAAATGACATTCTAGGCGCAAATCACAGACAATGAAATATGATGATTATGCACAAGAAGTCAGAAAGTGAACAGTGACATTTGAATCCAACTCAAGAAAAAAAAAAAAAAAAAAAAACATTGGACCATTTCTTCTTCTGTCATCAACTTGCATCATCTCATATCATAACTGCAGCAACAGAAGCAAGTGAACAAAAGGCATCAACAGTACATGAACCTTAAAACTCACATAACCTGCGGAAGTGTCCACCGGGACAGCACCATCATCATCGTTAGTATTTTTGTTATCATCACCACTTTTGTCTGCAGATGAATCAGATTTAGGTGAACCTCCTTTCGCCGGTGCCGGTGCCGGAGCCTTAGGCTTAGGAAGAACAACATCAAGTGGAAGAAGCACTTTGTCAACCCGAAAAATAGCAAGCTTGTTATCCGCATACACGGTGCCGGTAACGGTGGCATTAACGGCGCCGGTGGTCATTCTGACTTGGCTGCCGCCGTAAGTGGTGACGTTAAGTTGAAGCCTTTTGGGGTCGTCACCGGCTTGGGTTTGAACCGGGTTAGTGAGAGTGTCGAAGTTGGAGATTGAAATGAAAGAAGAAAGTGTGTGGAATTGTAAAAGTTCAACCTTTTCTCCGTCATTGAGTGAGTTGAGGAACCCTGCTTTTACCTTGGAAAAGGCACTGTCATCTGGGGCGAAAATGGTTAATCCTCCTGAGCCTGAAGTCACAAGCTGAGAATTGAGTTGGTTTATCAATTGGGTTGTCTTCAATAGGCGAATGAGTGTGGAGAATCTTTTAGCCTTCTTAAGAATTTGAACTATGTCTATGGTGGGAGCTTTGGCTATAGTTGGTGTAGGGGCTCCATTGGGTGACACGGGTACAAGGGGAACAATGTTCATTCCAGGCGGAGTAGCTTGTGGAGAGGATGGTGGTAATTTTGGGATTGTGGGAGATGTTGTTGGAGTTTGAACTGGTGACAGTTGAGCTGATATGGTAGTGTAGAAGAAAGTGAGTAGCAGGGCAAGTGAGGCAGAGAAGAGAGATTGTTGAATCATCATTTTTAGTGTATAATGGATGTGTACTTGTTCTTGGGGAACAAAGGGAGGGTTATGATGCTTTTGGGATATAGATTGCTAAAATGATGGTTTTGCAGACTTGAGAGTCTTGAATTGATTTGCTGTGAAGAAAAAGGAAGGAGGGGTTGGTTTTTATATTGAGGCAAGCTGGGAAGAATGATGGGTGCAAAGCTTTGGTTAGAAAGACAAAAGCTTTAATCTGAAACAATTTTACCTTACCTGTCATGGAAAGGTGGTGCATCACTCATTATTACTGGTGAGAGAGGAGAACACTCAGATGGAAGTGAAAAAAGGGATGAGAACTATTATGCTTTCACGTCATAGGTTATCAACATATATCAATTGGATGCTATTTATATGTAATTTGAAAGGTGCATGGTGAGTCTGTTTATAGGTTGAGTATTCACATCGGATAAAAATGATATGGCCATATTGTTAATCGCTGTCTTATAGATGTTGTGTCAGGAACTAGTTAGAATCCTGGCTGAGATGGTGATATCAGCCATACTCTTTCTCTCTTCATTCTATTAAAATAATCGTAGATTGGTTCACTCTCTGCTTGTTCTGATATTCAGAGAGGATATAAAATTGAAGACTTATTTTTTTATACAAGTAAAAATTTAACAGATAATCTAATATAAGATATCCAAATAGCTCGCATTAGACCAATCATAGTAGCTTAAATTGAAGCCTAGTTAAAAAAGTGAAAATGAATGATAAAATTACATTTCTTTTGCTTCAGTAGGTTATTTCTTTCTTTTGTCTTAGTGGTTCACTCCGAAGCATATAGAAAAGGAAAGATGTTAGGCCGTTGTAATTTCAGTTCTAAAACAAATGTGTCTTTGATATATTATTATTAAGGGTTTTGTATTTATAATTTAACATGACCACAACAGCTTTCCTACACACACAACATTTTGTGGGACCCACAATTTTTGAAACCAAAAAAAAAAAAAAAACTCTGGCACGCAAAACGAATCTCTATAACATAACACAATCATTTTTCCTACAATATAACTCTTATTAAACCCTATTATTAATTGCTACCTAAGTTGCATTTGTGTTTTTCTGAACTACAACCTCCTCCAAACTTTGTCGATATTAACGCATAACCTGAGGAGGAGGAGTCATATCGCGTTGCAACTGAAGCAAAATGTGGAACTCACTTGATGGGATTCACTATTCCATAATACATACATTCTTCTCCATCCGAGGGTTACTTTCAACTTCACATTACTAATTTTTGTTAAGTCCCTTATTCGAATCTTGGGTATGCAACAATATTAAAAACTTGATAAAGAAAATTTGATTATTATTGTCTTCCTATCTGCTTCAACAGGATTGGTCGGATAATAAATAAACAAGTGGAGAAAACCAAAAAAATATTATACATTTTATACCGAAATTCAGTGTCACGACTCACGTGTGCCGTTTAATCTTTGCAAAACCAATCATGATTTGCTGCGAATCTAATAAGCAACTTCAAGTAATGGATGACAGATGACTGGACCTTAAATCTTATTTTTACTCATAAGAAAAATAATTAATCGCTTTGTGAGAAGTGGAATCTTTTTGTATTGTGACCTTTTTTATTTGTTGAAATTAGGCAAATCCTCTCCCTCTAGCCTCTACCACCTTTAATTAGCCAAAATGTTTTATTTCTAATCTGTGTCTAACCTTTATCACCAGTCACCAGCTACACCAATTCTCAGATGAATTAATTTTTCCTTCTATTTACCATATATATGCATGTAACTGTTGCAGTTACACTTATGCTTTCTGCTGTAACGGTAAAAGCTTAGTTGTTAGAATATAGTTAGTAGTTATTTTTTTCCCGCCAATAGCTTCTGTTGTATGAGCTGATATATATCAGAAGTATGTACTCTATGATTGATTCAATTTTGAGATGATTCACTTTTTTTCATATCGTAAGAACCTTAAAAAAAAATATTGAAATATGACCTTGCTCTGCAACTAACAAATTGGAGGTTTTAGTTAGCTCATTCGGGACAGAGTTTCTGTTAATCACTTCTTCAGAAAACACCATAAAGCTTGGAATTTATAGAAGCAACCATAGGATAATACTCTTTTATTAGAATAAATTCATAGATACAACAATCTCATATCCCCTAATCGACTTTAATAAATTCATCACCAGTATTCACTCCTTTCTCACAACACATCGTAACACTTAGATATATATAATATGTAGCATAGTAGATGGTAAATTCAGATCATATTCTGGTTTTATGTTGTCAATAAAGTCCCAAGAACTGCTCCAAGAACAAGGGGCACCCACTTTCCAAACACACTGATTTTCACAGTGCCAGAGTTCTGGTTTGTGGGATTAATCTGAGATGATTCTGAGGAATCTGGGGATAATGGTTTCTCCTTATCAGGTTTAGGCGCCTTTGCTGAAGGTTCTGGTGCCAAAGACGGTGCTTTTGATGGTGCCTTAGCAACTGCAAAGAAATCCAAAGGAAGAAGTACCTTTCCCACCTTATAAATAGCAAGATGCTTATCCGAATATATTATACCATTGATGGTAGTGTTAACCTCCCCTGTTGATATGTTCACACTCCCACCGTAACTTACCACGTTCAGTTCCACCTTTCCTGGTTTAGCACCTGCCAGTGTTCTCACAGGGTTTGTCAGAGTATCAAAGTTTGAACTTGACACATAATCTGGAATAACGTGAAACTGTAAGAGTTCAAGCTTTTGTCCATCAGAAAGAGAGTTGAGGAACCCTGCTTTGAGTCCTGAGAAGGCACTGTCATCTGGTGCTAGAATGGTTAAGCCACCAGATTTTGTAGTTACAAGCTGCGCATTGAGTTGGTTGATCAATTGGGTGGTTTTCATTAGGCGTATTAGAACGTTAAATGAGTTGGCTTTTCTCAAAATTCCCACAATGTCAATGGCTGCAGTGTCAGGGGTGCTATCACTTGGTGATTGTGGTAATGACGGAACCAATGGTTTAGGTGCTGCAGCTGGTGGGGTAGTGGTAGATTGTACTGGGGCAACAACTGGTGATTGGGCTAGAGTGTTTGTGGAATACAAGACAGAAACTAGTAGTGCTAGTAAGAAGGATAAGAGAGATTGCTTCTTCAACATTATGTTGGTTTTGGTAAATGAAGGTTTTGATGATATTGGAAAGATGTGCAAATGGTAGGAAATGTATTTGCAATGAGCACTTGATGCATTGATGATATGCAAATGATGGTTTTTTTTATAAAGGCCGGGAGACAACGATAAGTAGGTGAAAGGCTTAATTGAGAGACCTTAAATTGTGATTTGTGAGCGTCTTGCTATATGAAGAGGATTTAGGTGTTGCATCAATGAAGGTGGGTACGGGAGTAACAGATTTGGGTGATGATGGAGCAGTAAGTTCTTGCTTGAAGGGCCACCCCCCAAAGAGGCTCTCATGATCAGAGAGTGATTGAATGAAAGGATGTTGTATTGAAACATCTTAGATTTTAAATGACAAATGCTTAAGGATATATAAATTATGATTAATCAATCAATGACCTATACACAAATCACCTCTATCAGTTCTCTCTGTTGTTTAACATTTAATGATGGCAACGAGTATTGATTAGTAGTATAATTGTCGCAACATCTGACGGTTAAATTGATTCTTCTCAATAATCGTTTCTGATAAAAATAATATATATATGATAATTGTAGAATATTGCTATAGGTTGTTGCATTTTAGCCCAAGTGGTCATGGAATAACATGTAAAGAATCAATTCAACTCAAAAGTTTAAGCTGTTAGGTGAGACTACATTAATGATTTTATATATCTCAACATGTTCCCTCACACGAGAGCCCACTAAGCTTGAAGGGTGGATAATACACAAACCTACCTACCTGTGCGGTACACCAAGGCTCTGATACCACCATGTAAAGAACTAATTAAATCTAAAAACTTAAACTATTGGGTGAAACTACCTTAATAGCTTTATATATCTCAACAGAATACAATAGATAAAGTGATCACAATGGACTGTAAGATTCCTAGGCTCACAGTCTGAACCCATTATGGATTTGACTGGTTTGTCAATAAAATGACTCGGCCTTTTATAACCTCTTAAAGGTTGGTTTGTTAAGTGAGATTTAAGGGGTTTGCATTTGTCGTTTAACATGACACAACAAAATTTCTTACACAAATAATATTTTGTGAGGTCTACACTTTTTGAAAATAAAATAAAATTACAGCACGTAAAACGAATCGCAATAACATTACACAATCACTTTTCTTACAACATAACTCTTGTAAAACCCGAGATTTAATCATCCATTGTCACGAGCGCTTTCAGTACCACCATGGTATTAAACTGGATGCGTTTTTTTTTTTTAATTTATACTCTGTATTTTTGGGGATATATAATATAAATTATAAAAAAAATGCTTTTTTCTTCTCACTTCAATACAAAAAGCAACTGAGGAGGTGTTTTTTCAACGGCTGGTTGCACCTACCATCGTGGTATTATGGATTTTTCCCATTGTCACCTCAATTAGTTTAAATCTAAGCTAGAAAAAATGTTTCTTTTGTCCCAAAGACGAGTTATCTCTTATAATTTTCAAATAATGTCTTTCTGAGATTTAGAATAAAAAATAAATGGTATTTTAAAATTTTTACTTTTCTATTATAACATTTATTTTATTAAAATATCCTTTACTTTTTATTATAAACTTTAAAACAACGTCGTTTTAGAATTGTAAAAAATAATTTTATCCCCTGTGTAGGAGAAATATTAATTCCACAAATAAATTGCTGAAAAAAATAACAAAAAAGAATTGAAACGTAATATCCCAACAAACTGGTTACGAGAAGAAGAGAAAAAAATAAAACAAGAAACAAAAATAATATTGTCATGGGAATTGTATTTTTTTTTTAAAGTAGAAGTTATCTCCACCCTTATGATTCGCTTTTATTTTTTTGTTGTCACCAATTTTCCTCACATTCATTTTCGTTTCTTTTTCTCTCCATCCCCAACTAATTTTTCTCCCCCAAATTCCCATGAGTCTTTCTTTCTTTTATCTTCTCTAAATTCTTTTTTACAAAATCATGAAAATGAACTCATGACTTTATTTATAGGAAAAATTTTGGGTGTAAAGTTTCTCATGTTATAACATGAGAAATATTCCGTCAAAGATAGTTACGGAATTTTTGACGGAAATATAGTTCCGTTTGAAATAGAGACGGGAAAAATTTTCGTTGAAATTTGAAACGGAAATGTGCAACGGAAAATAAATTCCGTCAAAAATTTTGACAGAAAATAAATTCCGTTGAAATTTTCTGTCAAAAATTTATCATATAATATTTGTAATTGAAAATTATTGACGGACGACAAATTCCGTTGATAATTACAACGGAATATTTATTCCGTTGAAAATTTCAACGGAGTTTTTCCGTTGAAATTTGAAACGGCATAATATTCCGTTGAAAATTCAAACAGAATTTTTTTCTGTCGAAAAATGCAACGGATTTTTTCTGTCGAAAATTTCAACGGAATATTTTCGTCAAAAATAGAAACGGAACTTTGGTCCGTTGAAACTTTCAACGGAATTTTGGTATTTTTCCGTTGGAATTTTCGACGGAAAAATTTTCCGTCGAAAATTCCAACGAAATTTTTTTCCGTTGATAATTTATGAAAAAGCATAAATTTCTTTTATGCAAGAATGCTATCATTTATAATTGTTTATGGTGTTGTGCATATATATTGAAACATTCATCTTTATTCAAATATGCTTCAAACAAAAGAAAAGTACTCGGGCCTTGACATAATTCATCGTATAAATGGCACACACGCCCAATCCCGATGAGGGACAAAACCTCCTAAGCGCAGACTTGCTGGAAAGCCCTCAATAGTAGAATTAAACAATATAAAAAATGAAATCAACGAAAATAAGGGCAACATGAGTGATTAGTGTTGGTGCAACAACAGACGCAATTGTCCCAGACATATATGATACTAATCTGAGTAGAATAAAACAACAACAGACGCAATTGTCCCAGACATCATCATCTTAGAAGAATTTATTTAAGTGAGAGATAGAGAAATGAAATCTCCACCTTTTAGCAACCCCAGAAGTTCTATGACTACAACAGTGAATTTATATAGTAGGTGGGTGGGCTTGCGTGATTCTTTACTTTGACCATTTTATGTTGGTGCATAGTGTATTCCTAAATGACTTGTGAGAGATAATGACTTATTAGTGTCAAAACTTCAACAATTTTTGATTTTTTTTTCATCAAAATTTGCAACGGAATTATATCCGTTAAAAATTACAACGGAATTTTGGTCCGTTGATACTTTCAACGGAATTTTGATCTTTTTCCGTCAAAAATTTCAATGGAATTTTGGTCCGTTGATACTTTCAACGAAATTTTGATCTTTTTCCGTCAAAAATTCCAACGGAATTTTGGTCCGTTGATACTTTCAACGGAAGTTTGTCTTTTTCCGTAAAAAATTCCAACGGAGTTTGGTCCGTTGATAAGTTCAACGGAATTTTGGTATTTTTCCGTCGAAAATTTCAACGGAATTATTTTCCGTTGAAAATTTCCACTAAATTTTTATCTATTGGTAATTTTAAGTGAATTTTTATCCTACATTTTGTTCTTCAAGTAATTAAATCATAAATTTCTTTTATTTAAGAATGCTATCATTTATAATTGTTTATGATGTTGTGCATACATATTGAAACATTCATGTGAGAATGCAAGTAGTCATGACTATCCATATTGAAACATGATGCTAAGATGTACTCACATGAAAATGGATATGATAATACGTAAATATGTTGCTAACATATCCCTGTAATCATCATCTTAGAAGAATTTATTTAAGTGAGATAGAGAAATGAAATTTTCACATTTTAGCAACCCCAGAAGTTCTATGACTACAACGGTGAATTTATATAGTAGGTGGGCGGGCTTGCATGATTCTTTACTTTAACCATTTTATGTAGGTGCAAAGTGTATTCCTAAATGACTCGTAAGAGATAATGACTTATTAGTGTCAAAAATTCAACGACTTTTGCTTTTTTTCCATCAAAAATTGCAACGGAATTTTATCTGTTGAAAATTACAACGGAATTTTGATCTTTTTCCGTCAAAAATTGCAACGGAATTTTGGTCCTTTGATACTTTCAACGGAAGTTTGGTCTTTTTCCGTCAAAAATTTCAACGGAATTTTGGTCCGTTGATACTTTCAACGGAATTTTGGTCTCTTCCCGTCGAAAATTTCAACGGAATTATTTTCCGTTGCAAATTTCCACGGAATTTTTATCCGTTGATAATTTTAACTGAATTTTGTTCCTACATTTTGTTCTTCAAGTAATCACAAGCATTATGAAAAACCATAAATTTCTTTTATGCAATAATGCTATCATTTATAATTTCTTATGGTGTTGTGCATACATATTGAAACATTCTCATGAGAATGCAAATAGTCATGACTATCCACAACTATAAGTGTTGAAGTAATGAGTGAAGTTATAAGTATACAAATATGATGCTCAGATGTACTTACATGGATATTCAAAAACGATGCTCATACACTACAATAGTTCAAGTATTTTGCGGAGGTTATGTTTGCAAATTGTGGAGGCCTTTGACCCCCACTACATATATTTGTGCATTCATAAAGAACGCCAGTTTCACATGCGTCACAACATAATTTTTGTCATTTATGTGTGCAACGCTACTATTTGTTCGAGTATTTTTCTGGAGGTTATAGACCCCCACAATATATGTAAGACTATGGATTTAATGATTTCTTATTTAATGTAAGACTATGGATTGTTTTAAGGAATAATTTGAACTAAATTTATAAAAAATAATGATTATATAGACCATGATTTATATTATAAAAATAATAATTATATTGACCATGATTTATAAAATATCATGAATTTATAATTAGCACACAATATTGTTGGTTTGGTGTTTGTCATTTTAAATGACATAAGTTATGTCTTTTTAGGAGAGAGATAGACACAGAAAACAGAAATCATGGGAGAGAGAAAGTGGATGGTTTTTTTTAATTTAAAATTTAAATAAAAAATATGTGTCAGTCTCTCTCTTAAAAGGACATAATGTTATGTCGTTTAAAATGACAAATATTTTTTCCTAATAAAATATATCACTTTACTTATAATTTGTTAACATTCTTAGCAAAATAGTTATAGAGTATTATTCTTTTACAAATTAGCAATTAATTATCATTTTCGTTATAATTATATAACTTAGTAATCCCTTTTAAAATTTGGTAGTCTTTCGCTCTTTTCGCATTCCCTCTTTGTACAAATTATTTCCCTCCCTTCTAATTTTTCACAATCGAAATATCCTGCTTTTTTTTTTCTTTATGTTTTCCCAAATAGTTTCTTATTCCTGAACCAACTCTCATTCAAATATTTTAAGAAACAATAAACCTTATCAAATAGTCCATTCCCGAAAACTTTCAAAACTCAGCCTTGAATTCCGGTAAGAAATCCCTCTCCACGATCGCCAACACCATAAGTGCCACCGCCGCAGCCTTCCTCATCGCCCAATCGACGCTGCTCAACAATTCCACCAAGCAAAGAACCAAATTCCTCAAGGCTGCGTGGCTGGACGCATAAGGCAGGTATTTTGTAATTTTTCATGAGCTTTTAATTTTTTATTAGCTTTTACCATCTTCAGAATTTCTGTTCTCAAATTTAATACCTGACAATTTAATTTTCTTGAAGGCTTCAAAAGCTTTATGGAGGAAATGTGTATGTGGGTCTTCGAATTCCCGATGCTGATTCTGGTTCTCCACAGAGCATTGATATGGTTCTTGTCACTAAAGCGTATTATCACTTCCCCCATCATTTTTTTTTTCTTCTCAGCTTTTGCAAAGTATCTTATATTGTTTTACTTGTTTTACTAGCGGCCATTGTTGGGGAGATTAAGAACAGAAACACATTGGTTCATTGAGACTTGAGGTGACAGGTTAATTTGTTAATTTAAGACCTTTACATTATTATTGAGATTGTGCTCACAATGTGTTCGATCATTTGCTTCACTGGCCTACGCATGCTGCATTGTAATTTAAACTTGTAAACTTTTTTTCCCATATCAAAGTTGGTTATTGTATAGGCTATATTGAACCTGCGATGGTGATCTGCATGAACCTGTGATAGTGAGTTATATGTGGAGTGTGCACTGTACATTGATGGAGCACCATTTGGCCTTCCCACAAGAACAAGGTTTTTATACTTTTTGCAGTTTATGTTTTACAGAACTTTTAAGACATTTTACTATAAAAATTCTGGTCCATTTTCACCTGGACTTACTGAAGGAATGATTTTTATGGGATAGGATTTCTTTTCGTTATTTAGCTCTTCAATTATACTATTATGATTGAGATTATTTTTTTATAATTTTTTTCATTTCCATGTGCTCCAACCTCCGTTGGTATTGTGTTAAAAATAAAGATTTAAATACAAATACTGTTATCATGCTTTATTTGTGTCATAGAATCGTATGTCTCATTGATTGAGAGATATGCCTTATATAATTTCCAAAAAAAAAGGAGATATGCCTTATAGAAACATGATTACAGTAGTAGATTAAAGATATAAAATAATTTGAATTAGCTAAAAGTTAGGTTATTATAATTTTAATTAATTTAATATCAACCGTTATGATTTACTAATCAAATCATATTCAAAGCCAATTAATGCCGTTGTTATAGTTTGCTAATCATGATCCTATTGGACATTAATTAATGTCAACTGTTACAATTAATGTCTAAACAAATCCTATTTCAACAGTTAATATCACGATCCTATTGTATTTAAATTATCTCTTCTTTGTACATCTCTTTTATTTTGTATTTAAATTATCTTGTGGCAGATTCTACAATTAGAGCAAAGGCTACAAGACTAATTTCAAGTCAGATTCACATTAGAAATGGCACTTGGATACAACCTATGTCTCTTGTTAATCACTTGGATCCAGGGCTCAGTGTGACAACTCACTAGATTAGAATTTAACATGATTGAGGTATCCTAATTTTTCCTATGCGTTATTTGATTAGGTTTACCTTCACACGCATTTCTTAGAATTTTTACCTCTGTTGTTCTGTTTGATGTGGATATTGGATTGGTCTTGAAATAGAGTGAAGTGTGAAATTATTTTACTTATAATTTTTTTTTTATTGCAGATCCTTCATGACAAACAAATAGTGCGTATTTTGGTGGCTAGCGCAAGTGTTAAGACATCAGCCTTTAGTTAGCATTTTTTTTCTTCTATTTCATGTATTTTTTTTAGACTTCATTTGAATTTAAGTTATCTTGTTAATACATATTAATTTTACACTTTGAATATTATTATAATAATTTTCAAAGAATATTTAATTGTTAGAAGCATTTTTCATATTTAGGAAAATTTTCTTTTAATTAAAATTTAGAATTTTTTTTTTCATTTTGATTGTATGTAATTGTAGTATATTTTAAATGATTTTTTAAAAATAATAGTCAATGGCTGCTTATTCCGATGGTTGAGAAAATCGACTCCAAATCACGCAGATGGATTTAGTGGCTCCATATTCGTAGACAATTTTCAAAATGACGTTAATATTTATGCTGACAGTTTAAAATGTCATCAATATTTGTTGAATTAAAATTCATATGAATTTAATATTTTTAAAAAAATTAAAAAATATTATTTTCGATGGAATTCTATGTACATTCCGTTGTAAACGGTTAAGAATTTTCAACGGAATCAATTCCGTTGAAAATTTCGAAGGAGTTATAGATAAATTTTGTTGCAAACTGTTATAGAAATTTTGGGTGGAATTTTTTACCGTTAAAATTTTCAAAGGAATTATATATAAAAACTGTTGGAAACTGAAACGAAACTTTTCGACAGAATTATTTTCCATTGAAAGTATAGACGGAATTGTAGTTAAATTCCGTCGAAAATTGTGACGGAATTTTTCAACAGAAATTAATTTCGTCAAAAATTTCAACGGAATTTTTTGTTAATTTCTGTTGCAAATTAAGACAGAATTTTTTGACGGATATATTTTCTGTTGAAATTTTCAACGGAATTTATTATTTTAATATTATTTCATGACTTCTTTTATTGACGGAAAAGTAAGGCTTCCAACGGAATACATTCCGTTGAAGTTTTCAACGGAAAAATATTCCGTTGTAAATTTCAACGGAAAAAAAAATTCTGTTGCCTTTCGACGAAGGATTATCCAACAGCAGAATTCCGTTGAAAATTTCGTGGAAAAATGACTTTTCAACGAAATTTTCATAATTTTCAACGGAATTTTTCCGTTGAAAATATTAATATTAATATTTCTAGTAGTGTTATAGGAAATAAAATTATCTTCTATACACATAAAAATATTGGACCTGTGTGGACTGTACGAGTAGAAGAGAGAGAAAGAGAAAAATTAAGTCTCACATAATTTTTTAGTGTAAAAGAAATAATTTTACTCCTACAAAATATTAGAAATTTTAAACTCAAAATTTTTTAGTATACAAATAATTACTTTAATAATAAAATATTATAATTGTTATTTACTATATACACAAGAAATTAATTACAAATTATGTTTCTTACATTTTAATCTTTGTGAAGTTTTTAAACAATATATATCAATACAATATTGATGGCCTAATCGATTTCTGGGTGCAGATCACAAATTACAGATAACACCCTTTGAGTGATGACCGATGACCATTGACACCCTTTGAGCTGCTTAGTTAAAAAAAAAAAAAAAAAAAATTAAAATTTTCCAAAAGAAGAACCTATTTTTTATTTTTACCAAAAAAATCAATTTTTCGCTTCAGTTTTGTGAGGAAACAAACAAGCATTGATAAATAAACATCAATATAAAAATATAAAGCAATAGTAAGAAACTAAGAACACTTCGAAGGAGAAGTGGCAAACCTGGATGGAATCTGCGGGCGGATCCAAGTGTTAGAGAAGGGGGGCAAGTGCCCACCCTTAAAATTTGATGCAAAAATATAAAAATATTTTTCTCTTAAAATTCAAATTTTCCTAATTTAATTTTGGGGTAGGATATTGTAACAACTAAATAGTGTTACCACCAATATTACTACAAATTAATTTTACCATTAGATCGATTATGTTGATCCAACAGTTATATTTATTTCTATCTTTGTATGGTTATGATTTCCCATATTTAATACTTTATATTTAGTTTCATCTTTGTATGATTATAATTTCCCATATTTAATGATTTTACATTAAATATGGAGATCATAACCATACAAGATGAAAATAAACATAATCGTTAGATCAACATAATCGATCTAACGGTGAAATTGATTGGTAGTAACATTGGTGATAACCCTAGTTGATTGTTACGATATCCTACCCCTTTAATTTTCCTCCTTCTATTTTATTTTCTCATAAGTTTTTTTTTTTCTCCTCCACTTTCATTATCCAAACCTAACAGTTGAGAGCTCGTTTGCATCTACATACTGATTCATCTCCTCTCAAACCTCAATCTTCATTATTAGAAGTTGTTGGAACATTTTTTTTTTCTCCATCATCGGTCAAGTTGAGTCGCAATTTGTCCAAATCTAGATCTAAACTAGACCCAGCCAGTCGGCACCTGCTCGCAAGTCGCGTTCCAGACCAGACCCAGATCTATATGTACTTAAATAGTGCCCACCCTTTATTAATTTTCTGGATCCGCCACACGGTGTGAGGAACGGCGTCGAGGTTTTGAAGGGCTCTGTTTCTTTGTTTGCTTTAAAGACGAAGTCACAAAACAAATGAGAGGTTCACTTCAGCTGTTCAAACAGAGGCTTCAGAGATGAAAAAAAAGAAGAGAAAGTAGGATTTTTTAGGGTGAGTTTGAGATTTCGGAGAGAGGATTTAAATTCGGTCACTGTTTAAACAAATTCAAATATTTTACGATTTTACGCTCTAGGAAGAAGATTTTAACGATTTCATCTTGGATATAATTTTATGAGAAATCTAAATCGTTTTAGCAAAAATAAATTGTTAAAATCGGGATTTTAATATTTAAATCCGGATTTTAATTACCATGGATAGACTCATATAACTACTTTAATATTATTGATTAACTTTAGACAATGGTAACGATAGTGTGGGTAAATGGATTTTCCTATTTGGAAGGTAAAACAATTCTATTTTAATACAAAAAGAGCAACTATATTAAAGGTATAACTATATCATGAAAAAGTAATATATATATATATATATATATATATATAACTTTAACATATTATTATTATTATTTAGAGGTTTATAAATCTCATTTTTTGTTACTTTTGATAAAAGAGTGTAAACTCGTATAGTGCTGAAAATATGTTAATTTGCTCGCAATTTTCATGTATAAACAATAATTTTAATTATATTTATTTTAAATTTCAAATAATATAAATAATAAAAAAATAGTTTGCAAATAACGTTGCCCTACCGTAAATGCAGAGAATGTTGTCTCACGTCCCAATTCACAAAATCTAAAAGGAAAGTAACGATTAAGAAACACGGGTAGTTCATTTGGTGTATAAAAATTGAACAATGGAGAAAAAAAGATTTTGGTTAGATTTTCATATATATTCTTTGGGAGGAGTTTAAAATCTTTATCCTGACTCATTCCGTTCTCCAGTTTAATTCGATAGCCGATTCAAAGAGTCAAAAATAGTGAAAATGTAAAGAGATAAAAAAAAAATAACGATTAAGCTTTGCGCTTTTACTTTTTATATTTTGACTATGTTTTTTTTTTTTTTTTTTAACGATTCACATCGATTAAAATCATCATTTCTATAAGCAAAATACCACATATATTTTAGGAAAAGAACACGACACAATCACTTAAACCTTCACATAACTCTCAAGAGTATGCTTCCTAGGCTAATACAAACGAAGTTCAGAACAAGACATAACAAAAAAATAACATAACAGAACATGCATGTTTTAAAGAACGAAATTCACAACTGGCAAATCCATCAGGTTTGAAACGTTGCTGCCACCAATGCAAGTCCAAGCGACACCCATTTTCCATACACACCAATCTTCACAGCGGCAGAGTTCACTTCAGAGGGGTTAACCTGTGATGAATCAGAGGATGATGCAGTATCCTTATCAGGTTTAGGTGCCTTTGCAGTATCAGCAGAAGGCTCTGGTGCCAAAGACGGTGCTTTTGATGGTGCCTTAGCAACTGCAAAGAAATCCGAAGGAAGAAGTACCTTTCCCACTTTATAAATAGCAAGATGCTTATCCGAATATATTATACCATTGATGGTAGTGTTAACCTCCCCTGTTGATATGTTCACACTCCCACCATAACTTACCACGTTCAGTTCCACCTTTCCTGGTTTAGCACCTGCCAGTGTTCTCACAGGGTTTGTCAGAGTATCAAAGTTTGAGCTAGACACATAATCTGAAATAACGTGGAACTGTAAGAGTTCAAGCTTTTGTCCGTCAGAAAGAGAGTTGAGGAACCCTGCTTTGAGTTCTGAGAAGGCACTGTCATCTGGTGCTAGAATGGTTAAGCCACCAGATTTTGTAGTTACAAGCTGTGCATTGAGTTGGTTGATCAATTGGGTGGTTTTCATTAGACGAATTAGAACATTGAATGACTTGGCTTTCCTCAAAATTCCCACAATGTCAATGGCTGCATTGTCAGGGGTGCTATCACTTGGTGATTGTGGTAATGATGGAACCAATGGTTTAGGTGCTGCAGCTGGTGGGGTAGGGGTAGATTGTACTGGGGCAATCGTTGGTGATTGAGCTAGAGTGTTTGTGGAATACAAGAGGGAAAGTAGTAGTGCTAGTGAGAAGGGCAAGAGAAATTGCTTCTTCAACATTATGTTGGTTTTGGTGAATGAAGGTTTTGATGATTTTGGAAAGATATGCAAATGGTAGGAAATGTACTTGCAATTTGCACTTGATGCATTGATGATATGGAGGAGTAGGCTTTTATTGAGGCGGGGAGAGAATGACTGGTAGGTTAATGGCTCAATTTTGAAACCTTAAATTGTGATTTGTGAACATATATCTTGGTATGTGGCAAGGGGATTAAGGGGTTGCATCAATTAAGGTGGATATGGGAGTAACAGATTTGGGTGATGGAGCAGTAAGTTCTTGCTTGGAGGGCCACCCCAAACAGGCTCTCATAATCAAATAGTGATTGAATGAAAGGATGTTGTATTGAAACATCTTACTTAGATTTTAAATGACAAACGCTCAAGGAGATATAAATTATCAACTTTAATTTATTGGCAAAAGCACCGTAGACT